GAAACAGTTTGCAAAGTGCAAGGGAGAGGGCACCAGCGACAACTCAAAACATCCATCCCGACCACACTGAGGCTTTTGAAGGCACTTTAAAAAATGCATGTCTTCATAACCCCCCTCTCAATNCTGGACTGCTTTTTAGGTATCCTTCCTTGGTCTCCAGTTTTCGCTTTGTCATGCGTCGCGAACCGCGATAGATCGTGACTTTGTTGTATGAATAAACCAAGCCACGCTCCTTTCTTTTGATATTTCAGCACGAGGGAAAACCGTACTGCAATAGGCCATGCTACCAGACCCTATTTGGACCCCAAGGTAAGTCCATCTTGGTTTTCGTTTTAGTCGCTTGAGTAAATAATTGCGGCTCGCAGTAGCTGTCCGTTTTATCAATGTCTTCATAATGCACCAAGCATCTACGACTAGATAACTAATGAGTCGATCCCTTTTCATTATACACTACTGTGTCTAGTACCTCAGTTACGAGGATCTGTTGTTCAACCATAGAATGCGGCAACCTAAGCCCCCGAACCATGTAAGGTCTTTCTGAGTTACGCATGAAGCCTTGTGACGGAATTTGCCCGATTGAACCTTAAAGCCTGGGTGGGGCGCTCAGGGGAGTCGATTCCGTACACACACACACACACTGTAAGACAATCGTGTACGTTTTGTGACCAGAATCTCCTACAGGAGAGGTCAATAACCAGCCTGGACACCGACCCCCAACATATAGTGGTTTTCACACAGCCCAGCTATCTCGCTTGTCAGACTTAGACTAGCTTTGGCTACTCCAGGGTGGTGAATTCCCTTGCTTCGACCTAGACAACCTTGTAGTATCCTGCCCATGAGTAAATCATAGATGTTTATTGTGTCGGGATTCGTTTAGAACGTTCTGGACTCAGACGCGTCTGAAATATAATAGGGATAATAGCTTGATCAGCGAAAAATGAACTAAGAGCGGGCTATGAATTGATGTGTTTAACAAGGGGACACAGTGGAAACTGGGCAAATGGGAAGAGGATAAAAAAAACTCACATGATTCGACGATGGAGACTTTGTGGTGTTTTTTGTTGTTCTATCCATCTCGTTTTGAGTCCGCCAGTGCCGTTGGTTTTCTCGTTCCTGCTTTGAATTCATTCCTATCACCGATCTGTTTTTTTTGCTGTCTTCTCGTGTCTTTATCAATTTGTATTCAACTATAACTGCTTTTTGAAGATGTTTGTTTTTGGACTCAGTTTGGTTTCATCACAATCCTCTCCACTGTTATCTCCTTATCTTCCTGACAGGTTACGGAAGCGTGGCCAGCAGTCACATATATAATTAATCTTGCTTCGCCCATCCCTACTTGCCAATTCCAAATTCACTGCACTCGATCAATGATGGAACAAATTTGGTCAAGTTGCGGTTCTTTTGCCTGCTTCCGAAGTATACATATACATTCCACTATTCTATTTTTTCCTGGAACCAAGCAGTCCTAACCTTTTTTCGCAATGCGGTGATTGTAATAAAAAGAGTATTGAAGAGATGCAATTTTTTACTGATTACTCTGTCGTTGTAGTGATGGGGTTGAGGCGGCTTAGGTATGGTTAATCAGCCTTGATCGCCTTAATTCGTTGTTGCCGTTACTGTAGCGGAGCTCGCTTGAAATCAGACAGTATTATGGGATCCAGTTTGACGGGGAGCTCGATCTATGTGTGATTCCGTTATGCCCAAATCAAATATGACGTTTTGAACACTGAAAGCCACATTTGTTCACTCTTTGTTGTCTGTAATTAGTTATCGGAACCAGTTTTTTGGATCTTGTCGCGCTGCTGAAACTGGATCGAAGTAGTTCAATTTCGCTACTGCTCCCCCTTCCCCCGCATTATTTGACGCTTAGTTGTTGACCTGTCCAAATGACTCCGTAACACCGAGAATCCGGGCCTGCGGAAAATCAGACTGGGCACTATTCAAAAGGTTTTGGATCTTTCAGTTTGTACAACCATTAACCACGCATATTTAAGCGCCGGTTTTGGTTGCTGTCTTTTGGCCGCCCATTTGGATGAAGAATAGGCGAAAGTTGAAAGTGGAGTCGAAAAGAAAATGGAGAAGTTCAGTGGTCTAAGGTTGCAAATAGATTGAGGAAATGCACGAACGCCAACACCCAGCCATATCGCTCAGTGTCTCTAACCATCGGTTAGGATCATCCCGAGGTCCCCAGCCAGGGAGCCTAACAGGACCTATGTGACCCAGTTTCCTGGTTAGGGTTTTCATTCCCCCGTGCCAGGTTTTAGCTTGACCAC